TTTGGCAGATTATCTACTGTAACATCGGAAACCCCCAGTCTCTTGGCCAACAGCCGATAACATTTTTCAGAGAGGTACAAATAAGTGAGCTTTGATATGCTTCTGGCTTCGTTACATATGTTGAGTTAACTTGTGACATCTATGTCGCTCAGGTTCTTGCTTTGTGTTCCCACACAGCTTTGTTGGACGAGAGTGCAACTCATGGTTTGTTCAGGTACCATTTATCTGTTCTAACCTCACTGTTCTGGTTGTATATGATTTTATTTAACAATGGATGTTGCAATGTTTATCAGTTCCGATTCTATTGATCGTGCTTGGAAGATTCTTGACCTGATTCCTGGGAAAGCTACCGGTGCTTACAGCCACAGCCAGGTTTTGTGGCATAGTCAATCTTTTAAACGGCATCTCTCCCTCTATCTCAGTAAATGATTGCTTTTCTTACATCTTCTGTTTTGGCTCAGGGTATCAAGGGTCTACGTGATGCAATTGCTGCTGGAATCGAAGCTCGTGATGGTTTCCCTGCTGATCCCAACGATATTTTCATGACAGATGGTGCAAGCCCTGGGGTAACGATCATCAAACTTCTCTGAACTCATAGTAATTTATAGAACAAGTTGTTTTTTTTTTGTAGTGAGAATAATGTTCCTGTCGTTCTAGGTTCATATGATGATGCAACTTCTCATAAGTTCAGAGAAAGATGGAATCCTTTGTCCTATCCCTCAGTACCCATTGTACTCAGCTTCCATTGCCCTTCATGGTGGAAGTCTGGTATGTTACCTTATGTCTTGATGATATCACTTTTGACCCATGCATTCTGATTGCTGTCATCTTCTTCTGGTAGGTTCCATACTATCTTGATGAAGCATCAGGATGGGGCCTTGAAATCTCTGAGTTGAAGAAGCAACTGGAGGATGCTAGGTCAAAGGGCATCACTGTAAGAGCCTTGGCGGTCATCAACCCTGGCAACCCGACAGGACAGGTAACTTGGATCTTCAAAAGACCAAACCACAAATCTATTCCGGTCCAGATTTTACAGTTTGTCTTAATCTTGGCCTGTTATTTGTCTGGTTAAAGGTTCTTGCGGAAGAAAACCAGCGTGAAATTGTTGATTTCTGTAAGAAAGAAGGCTTAGTTCTTTTAGCCGACGAGGTTTACCAGGAAAATGTGTACGTCCCTGACAAGAAGTTCCACTCTTTCAAGAAAGTAGCCCGGTCTCTGGGCTACGGTGAGAAGGATATCTGCTTAGTCTCGTTCCAATCTATCTCCAAAGGTTTGAAAACAACTTGTTATCAATAGACTAAGCTTATATTCTCAATGAGCAACTAGTCTCAAATCTGGATACATTCTTTCTTTCAATAGGGTACTACGGAGAGTGTGGGAAAAGAGGAGGCTACATGGAGGTTACTGGATTCACTTCTGATGTAAGAGAACAAATATACAAAGTGGCTTCTGTGAATCTTTGCTCCAACATCTCTGGTCAAATTCTCGCTAGCCTCGTCATGAGCCCTCCCAAGGTATAAAAACATCTATGCTACTTTAACAGCTGGTTTGGTTTAAGCTCAAATGACTTTAACAGCTTTTTATGAATTTTGATCAGCCTGGCGATGACTCTTATGATTCATACATAGCAGAGAAGGAGGGAATCCTCTCCTCTTTAGCAAAACGTGCAAAGGTTAGCAATTCACAGAGAACTTACTAGCAGTCATGATTTTAAAAGTATATGGTCGTAATGCGTTTTGAGTTTGAACCGCGCAGACCCTTGAAGAAGCTCTGAACAAGTTAGAGGGTGTGACATGCAACAGAGCAGAAGGAGCTATGTATCTATTCCCTTGCATTAAACTTCCACAAAAGGCGATTGCAGCTGCAGAATCTGCAAAGACAGCGCCAGACGCTTTCTACTGCAAACGCCTTTTAAACGCTACTGGAATAGTTGTAGTCCCTGGTTCTGGCTTTAGACAGGTTTGAGATTGACAAAGTCTCTTCTCCAAATAACCGAACAAGAACTTTACTTGCTGTTTCTTATTAATCTTGTGTGTGTGTTTTGTCGGTTTGCTGTTTCTTATTAATCTTGTGTGTGTGTTTTGTCGGTTTGATGTAGGTACCTGGAACATGGCATTTCAGGTGCACTATACTTCCTCAAGAAGATAAGATTCCTGCAATCGTAAACCGTCTCACCGAGTTCCACAAGAGCTTCATGGATGAGTTCCGCAACTAAGGGATTCAGCTCCACAAGACCTCTCTTGATAGATATGACTGGTTAAACTAAAAGTAATGTTATTTTGCAGACCATAATATTAAAACGTTGTTCAATACTGCATGCTTTTCCATATATCAAACTGAAAGAACCCAAATCAAAATAAGATTCCAAGTTTACATACTCTAACAAAGCAAAGCAAACGTAAACTACAACACACACAATCTCATCGTCATTCACCTTCCAAGCTGGGCGTTCACGCTGCGGCTGTTGTTCTTCAGCAACTTGTTGCACAATCCGTCAACTTAAGCTCCTCCACATACATCTGGATAATTTTAAAAGACATTCCCATGTCATCAGTTAAGCATATATAAGAAGCTGGAAATACTGTTTGTTTGTTTACCTTTACTTCTTCAATCTCAACCTCATCTCCAACATATCAAAGGGTTGCCTGATGAACAATAGATGCATAGCGAAATAGTGCTTCTTTCAGACCAACCCAATGAAATAGGTGAGGACAAATGAGCTCGATCAGAGGCGGTTCTTGGGCCAAGCCAATGAAGCATGGGCTTCCGGGCGCCAATAAATAAATAATAATCGGCCACAATTTTACAGAAAGTTTTTGTGGTTACTTGTGCAACCATCTTAACAAGAGATGATGGGTTTGGAATCTACGAAGTGCATAATTATTTTTTTCAGCCTTCTTTTTGGTTTAGAGCGTGTGGTCCTCAAAAATCTAGGCCCGGCTCTGGTGATGATGAAAATCGTGTATATTGTTCCTCCCAATCCTAGCAGTGGGATCAGAAGCCCAGCAAGGAGACCCCAAACTATGAGGCTGAAGATGTTGCTAATTCTCTTGGAAGCTGTGTCAGTGTATTCCAATGATAGACGAAGGCATCTATGCCTTTTGAAAGAAGAACCTGCAAATTAAGTGGAATATCATTACTTACATAAATATGAAAATCAACGTTTGTACTTAAAGTTAAAAGTTGAATAATAAGAAGTTGTACCATCCATTCCTGAAGGAATAATAAGCTGATATGGATGTTCTCAGTATCCTCATATGTCCTCTAGAAGATATTCAATGTCTTCAAGGCATCATCTTTCGGAAGGAATCGCTGGAGATCCAAGCCAATGAACCTTCAAAATAAAGAAAGAACTTCAATAAGGGTTTGGGATTTCAAACATATATATGTAAAACTTACTGCGGATTATCAGTCGCCACATTCTTAAAGATCTTTTCTGCTTCAGTTCTCACGCACATGTTATCCTAGCTGTGACACCAGTTTCTTTCCCAATCATCAGATTTCTCCTCTGCCATGTTGATAGATGTCGTGGGTTAGGTCTTCAAAATTCACTACTTTGAGTGGCAAGTATTGGCTGATCAACATCGTGGGATGACCCGACAGAACTTCAAGGAGATACTGGTAGTAGAGAGATTCAAATATCTTCTCGCCATATTTTCTTATGTGAAACCAAGCAGATACTGAGTTAGCCATAACAGCCTTCACAAGGCAGGTAGAGAAAACGAAAGCAATCACCAAGAGAACTTTCTGGGTGGTTATCATCACGTGATTCTTTGATCTCGTCTGAAACTTCCCTAACGTAACCTCCCATGCACCGACCAGTAACCATGCCATCAAACTTCCCTAATGGTACATTTAAAAATTTAATAAAAAAATATTAAAAATTAAAAATTATGTTAGATGTTTCTTTAAAATTATAAACGCTAATCTAGTAATATCTCTAAAATTTTAAAGTTTTGCATGATTTATCTATATTTTTTTAAAAAAAAAAATACTTAATTTTTACTTATATTTTTCTTAATTTTTTCTTATGTTTCTATGTGGGGTGTATTCCAACACTCTACTTGAACATGCTATTAGACGGTTGTTGCGTCAGTTTACCGTTGAACACGCTCAAATTCTATCTAAAAATTCCTGATGCTTAGATAACTACAACTCGTATTATGTCAATAACTTGTATCTCAAGTTTTTCTTTTCTTTCAAGCTTACTCCAACATTTAATTGGGTACTTTTATTGTAATTAGAAGAGCAAGATATATTCATACTTGTTAAATTTATTAGAGGCTTTAATGTGTTTAGATGTTATTACCAATTGTCTTTCCAAACTTTTTGAATGTCGTGTGAATTTATTATAATTAAGTGTATAGTCCCCCCGTTTCTTTATATAAGTAGTTTTAGTTGAATGCACGAATATTAAGAAAAAGTTGTTATTAGATTTAAAGTAACATTTGATAATTAAATTAAGTATAATTAAACCAATCATAAATAAATCCGTATTATTTGATTGGATATACCATATTCAATAAATGTAAAAATTATCTAGATATTTGAAAACTACTTATATTTTGAAACACAAACATTTCTCTAAAACTACTTATAAAAAGAAGGGAGGGAGTATATTTTAGTATGAATCATTGATTGTCTTATGTAATTACTGGAAATCCATATTTTTCTGGTATGAAATTCTTAGTATATTAATCTGATCAAGCATGCATAAATAAAATAAATAGAATATATGCATATAATAGATAGGATCACATATATGTTACTAAAAAGTTTAGTTTGCAGTAAATTCAAATTGTTACTCCCTCCGTTTCATATTAAGTGTCGTTGTAGAGAATTTTTTGCGTTACAAAATAAGTGTCGTTTTCGGTTTTCAATGCAAAATTTATTAATTTTATTATGTAATTTGTTTTTCTATTGGTTAAAATATGGTTAGGTGTGTGGGTAACTGTGTTTTTGTATAGAAAATATGTAAAATTAATTGTTTCCTTAATCTGTGTGCATAGCTGTAGAGTGACATTTATAATGAAACAGAGGGAGTATAAATTTGTATATAAATTAACTATTGCATTTATACTTATTCAAGCTAAAAATGATTACAAACTTTAGTACAAAGCAAAAATCACTTAAATAAGTCAGATGATAATCTTAAGTTTAAGTCTCTTACAAATATTTAACAAAACTATAGCCTAAGTTCGAGATCTTTCGAACATTGGCCCTCTCCCTTAACTTCCATCAACATATCTTTAGCACATTCTGGTTTGGGATGGGAAACGGTTTGAGCAACAGCAGTGTCCGGTCGTTGTGACGACTGTCCCTGCTCTCGCTGCTGACCGGGCAGAGTCTCTGGCTTGGGAGGATAATGATGACGACCAGCGTTTTGGTTAACTTGGTATGGAGCTCTAGCCACAGCTCTGTGATGAAAGAAAAATATATGAAAATTGTCATATATCCATAGCGGTTTTGATTGATTACTAGGATAATTTAGGAGCACTTATGTTGTCAAGTACTTAATCTTTTGAACTAGTCAAATTAAGTATACCTGTCTTTACGTTTAGCAAAGAACCGATGAAGGGAAGCTCTACGTGCTATACGTTCCACGAGCTGGTTTTGTTGTTGTTGTTGTTGCTGATTGACATCAGCAAAGTCTGTGGGCTCGTTGAGATCCGGAAGAACCATGTTGCTTTTGTTCTTGTGGTCATTGATTTGTGTCTGAGTGTTGATCTCAGTCTCAGGCTTGGCTTCTTTTGCTACTTGTATTATCTCTTTAGCTTTCTCTGCAGGAAACTCATTGTATACTAAAACTTTTCCTCCAAAGAATATTGTCAGCTGTGAACTTGCTGCATCTGGGTGTTCACTATAAACCAAAACTCGGTTTCAGAACAAAACCATTTTTAAACCGTAATAGCAACAAGTATTATTATTGTAGACCTCACCTGAGATTGGTAGCTTTGGCTTTGCCTCCAGATGAGCTAGAGAGTTCGCCTTTTGCCTTATGCATCACATTTTGTTTCTCTAAATAAAGGAATAAACACTCTAGTCAGCTTTATTGGAACAAACGAATAAACTTTACAAAAATAATTATTATTTTTTTGCGATTCATGAACCGTATCAGTTTCCAAAATCAGCTAAATTCTCTATCTCTTTTGGTTACATATTACAAAAGGACATTAATTCGAGTTTTAAGGAACTGACTTGCAAATGAATAAATAAAAACAGACTTTACTATTACAAGTGGCGGACGTGAGAGCTATGAAGATATAAAGTACCTTGTTGATCATAGTTTCCTGGTAACCCAAGATCCAACTCGGGCTTTCGGACTAATCCAAGATCTATATTCCCGAAACTACCCTTCTCCTTCAAGTAACGGCTGAGCAAACTACATCTCCGGGTAAAGTTAAACTTCTCCGGCGGTTGTGCCTTACCATCTTCATTTCTCGACATATTGTGAATGATAAGGAGAGATTCTCCAGAGTTCTGTTTGTTTTATAGTTATGTATTTGTTATCTTATTTTTCCTTTTTTTTGTGCGTCAAATGGAAGAAAGAGTACAAGTGGAATGCGTCGAGCTCGCTCATGTGTTTTATAAACTCATTTTTCTGTGGCTTTTAATAGCCTCCAATGAATAAATAAAAATGAAAAGGATATTTATTTTTGTTTTATTTTCTTATTCTTCTTTTTCAGTATGTGGTAATTCTACCTTTTATTGATAAATGAAAATTCAGACATTAGGAATAATTCATCATTAATAACAAATAAATATTCCTCGAGTGAAAGTGAAAGGAAATTTCGTATAACAATAATAAAGTTAATGGTAGTAAGCCATCGTTAATTATTTATTGTTTTAAGTTTGGTATAACAAATCCATCGCCTATTTTATCATTTAAAAATATGCTCACATGTTTTTGTTTAGTTTGGTACAGAATATCTGTTTATGGACGGTCAGATTTTCAATTTAGACTAAAAAATGTTTTTTTCGAATAGAATTTCCCGCACGTTTTCCTTACGCGAGTTACAAACCGACGACCACGTTATCAAACGCCGTTAGCCAATCTGTTACATATTCGTAAAGGAACCCCCAAAGATGCTTGTATCTACGAAACTGCCATCCCACAAGAACTCAGCCTGAGTTATCGTGGTGGCATCATCGTAGTTATAACTCGCTTTCATGGGACTTTTCATGCGTTACAAGAACTTAATCAACTTTAACGGAAACTCGAATAGAATAGTACGTGGGCCGTGTGGGGACTCTGTCTCGTAATTTCCGGAGTTCCGTGTGAAAAAAATTCAAAAGGATGCACTTGTCTGAGATCCGACAGAAGATTAAAAAAACACGTGAGTTAAATAGAGTCATCTGTTATGATTAGGACAGGTCGCGCGATATCATACGACGCACTCGCGACAGTAATGTGTGATTCGTGTTTTTCCCACGAGAGAAGGCAAATCTTTTGATCCCACCTAATACGATAAGTCAAAAGAAACAAAACTTAATGGCTAAAGAGGATTAATTGACCGAACTGCCCTTTTCACGGATGCAATAATCAATACGTTGCTTCACGATTACGACTCGTTAGAAAAAACGTGTTTCTGGAAAATGATATTTTATTAGAAAAAAAAGAAAAGAGAATAAAAGTATGGTTGCTGGGACCTTCGTGATGTGGAGCTTGATCTTTCGATTGTATTTTTGAATATCTTTCTTCCGGAGATTCCTAGGAAGTTGTGGCTCTCAATCTCATTCAGACAAGCAAGTTTCTCAGAATTTCTTTACGTTTTTGTTAGCAATGTATACATAATGGGTTTGAGATTCTTCGGAAGTGTGATTTTTAATTTTGGGCCGAAAATAGCCCATAACTAGCTGTTGTGAACGTGATCAAACTTGTACTAGTCAAATGTTCGATTTTAAAACTTACACCAATGTATTTATGCTAATACATAGTTTAGTTTATTTTTCTTTTTAGTTTGGTTATTTAATTAGTGATATTTTTATTGTAGCAAGCAGTGGTGTATGTAATTAGGACACACTGGTAAGAATATTCTCACAATTCCTTGTATTATTTTGAAAGCACTACTACTACTACTAATCCAAGATAACGGGGAAATTATTAAAGAGGTTATGGTTTTCTTCTCATCATGAGAGAATCTTTATATTTTTGGTAATTGATTGGGACCTCTAACATTTTTTATACAGGATTACATCAAGGAGAAACTAGAGGAAGTATTATTCAGTTCAAGATTTGACTTGTCTTACAAATAACTTTAACTGAGCGCACAAAGAATGTAATAATAAATTTTTAAAGCTTAAGAGTGTCCACCTTAATATTACACAAATGATCACATACATACATACACACATGAATGTACATTTCAAGAACATGTTTGCTTCTATGGACCCAAATTCCCACATATCAAATCATGCCAAAAAAAACAAGAAGGTATACATACATACACGTGCAGATGCATCAAAAAAATCCTTCGAAATAAGAACTCTTTTTATTATTTCCCTTAAGAGTTCGAATCTGCATAAATGATCAAATGAAACATCTCACATAAGCTTTGGGAAAGAGAAACATAGAGGCTTAAGAGATCATCTCTTGTTCTGTCTTAATTACCTGTACTCTGAATAAACTTTTTCAAGGGCTTGTGAAGAACGAAAGTTGGATCACATCTCAAGAACTATGACTGTAATAAAAAAAAGATAGAATCAGCTCTTGTTTGTTTATAAGTTTGTACAAAAATTTAATGAGGAAACTCACAGTCAGAATCTGTTTTGACCCATTTATGTCCGTCGCTACTACTTCTTCTTTCGCTGGTTTCTTCTTCTTCTTCACTCTTCAAAGATAGCTGTTTCTTGCCTTGCAAGCATCTCTTTGTTGTTGATGATGTTGTTGGTTTGGACGAGGATTGAACATTAATCTTCTTGTGTAGCATCATCTTCAACAACTGTAAATTGATATTTGATTAGAGACAACCCAAAAAAGATAATATATTTAAATCAACTTTTTTTTATACTTGTTTACCTTCTCCATTCTTGATTCTTGAAGCGTGTCTCTCAAGCTAGGGTTGGGAGATGTAGAAAACCCATCGGCACATACAAAAATCTTCTTGAAAAGATACGAGACAGACGTCTTGCTTATATCTGTCTTCTTACTTTCTATAGATATCTCTTTGCATCTACCAAGAATAACGTTAATTGTTCGCTCCATATCATCACTCTCTTCAGACGAATCCACAACAGCACAGAGCGCATTGCTGATTCGCCTCTCCACATCTAAACTCGATGGACAATTCAAGAATCTATCCAAAGGAAGATTTTTCATGAGCTCTCTATTCACATCAGACTTTCTTTTCTTAGTTCTTGATAAGATCTTCATCAACTCCTTTTGTATCTTCTTGGCCTCCTCTGGAGTAAAATCCTCAATATCATCAGATGAAGATGGCTCTTCTTCTTGCTCAGAATGCGATATAGACTTCTTGTTAGCTTCGGTTTCTTCATGAACACTCTTGCTCACACTATTGCTTGTTGAACCAAAAGTTCCAATAGCGAGCAGCGCGTGAGGCCAGTCGCTAAACTCCTCTCTTGGCTCTTGCTTCGCATGATCTAAAAAACAAGATTCAAAAAAAAAAAAAAAAATTTAGGACAGCAGATTCTAAAGAGACAAGAATCTGGGAGATTGGTTGCACATATCCCTAGCAGACAACAGAATCTTGAAGTTAAGAATCTCATGAAAGTAAAATCTTACAAGAAGAAGCAGAGGAAGTGCTTGTTCTGTTATGATCCCCATGTTTTGCATTTTGCTTGTTCAGCATCCATCCTAAGAACTGAATACAACAACCAAAGAATATTCATAAACCATACAAAAATAAAACAAAATCAATGAAAACATATTATGTATTTACATATACAAAATGTGAAGGACCACAAAACTGACCTTCATGTTTTTTTTACGATCTTCTGGAATAGAAATTAAATGTAAATATGTATAAACTAAGTTACTGGTGAATTGCTAATATTGGTTATTATAGAGATAAGATGGGAGAGAGTTTTAGACAAGTTGAACTAGGAGTGATGAATTTGATGTTGTTCAAGTTCCAAGTTTGACTATTTTAAACGAGAGGATTTCAAGTTAAAAAGAAAACTTTTAAATTGTTCTTTGTAATCTTGTGTTCAGATATTACCTCACTGTTGCTACTTTATACAACTCACTCATATTAAAGCACATATCCCCACGTACCCCCAACGAGTCCACCCACGTACCCCAACGAGTCCACACCAACATTCTTCTACATTTTACTACGGCCCACAGATTAGCTACATTAACTATTTTTGTAATGTAATTAAGTTCAAACCCGTGTATTGGAGAGAACGTCACGGCTTTGATCTCGGCTCATCATACACGATGGGCGTGGAGCAACCTTGACGATATATAGAAGTAAGACTAGAAATGCAGTAAAATGAATGGTTATTACGGTGACACGGGTGAGTTCGCCTGAGATTTGTTAATTATTTATAAACTTGTGACTAGTTTACATAATTTTGGGTACGTGCTAGTTCCACCACCGTTATTTTATTACTCCTTCCGTTTCATTTTAATTATATATATAAGTTTTTACACACAGATTAAAGAAACATTTAATTTTACATATTTTCAAGATAAAAACACAATTACCTATACACCTAACCATTTTTCAACCAATAGAAAATAGATTATCATATAAAATTAATAAATTTTGCCTTGAAACTCTAAAACGACACTTATTTTGAAACGAAATTTTCTCTCTAGAATGACAATTAATTTGAAACGGAGGGAGTAACATATAAAAGAGAACCAAGCACAGTTATCGAAACTAGTAATTACAAAATTAACAATGAACTCATTTATAGGCTAGGCAAGAAATTAAACTTATCTGGTTATTTACGTAATGCATTTAGCCATTACATATTTGGACGTGAGCAGGTTGGCGGTTTTTTCCTCAAATCCACCAACGGATAAAGCGTCCCGACCAAGACTCAAGTCGAAGTGACTAAATAGCCATACAAAATTACAAAGTATCTGCACACTTCAAACGTAACTAATTTACTTCCTTGATCATGGTAATCGAGACCATTATACCACAACGTACATGACTACATGTTGTTTTAAACAATTCAAATCATATGAAAATTTAAGTTAGTCATAGTTCATAGTTCATTTACATGCTCATATCCTTTCGAACCAGTGCTGATTACCGAAAGTATATATACACTTATAGTAAGCTGCATTTAACCTAGACAATGAAATTGGTGTCAGTTCAGTGTTGTAACTCATAGCTTACAATTAACAAAACAAACGTCAAACAATATATAATAACGACAAGCCAGTTAAGTCCAAGTTTAGACATGTCTACTATACAATGTATTATTGATCATCAATTATATGTATCCACAAGTCTTAGATATTATGGGAAAACTATTAAAATCTGTAAAGTGCTAAAGTTCTTTTCAAAAAGTGCATAAAGATCTAACAGAAAGAGTCAGAAAGAAAGAAAAAAATAACGAAAATCCATGTAAAGAGTTGTGCAATGTCCCCTCAAGTCTTTACCTCTTCTATATACAAGGGCAAGTGCCTTAATTTCTTTAAGGCAAGTGTCCTATATTTCTAAAGTCTTGCACTAACTTTCATAAAATAATCTTTTAATTATATCATATTGAATTGATCCCACCTATATGGATCAGTCAAAATAGGCTTCTACTTATGTAAATAAAATTAAACAAAAATGATTGTCAAAGTCCAATAGAATTGCATGTTACCGAATGAGTTAACATCATTGGATTGATAGATTAGCAAACATTTCCTTGGTCTCCATGAAACATTGTCTTCTACTTCAACTTTCTCTCTCACCTTCTTCTTTTCAATTTTGCAGATATTTTTATTTAATTATACTAAGTAGTATACTTTAAATTATACTTAGCAAGTATCTTTGGCAAACCCGAGAATTACTGAGGATAAAGTTAGGCATTGACCCAAATGTTTATAGTAGCATCGCACTGAAACGCGCACACACACCTGATTAGAAATGTACTTAACTAAGAATGAGTGGGGACATTGGGACCAGAATTAGGATGAGGGACCACTCTAAAAGTGATTAATATGTGGTTCAAACAATTAATACGTTCTCTTGTGAACTGTAATTAACACAAAATCTAGGGAGTTCTTAAGATGTTTTTGTGGTTTTCAAACAGTACACGTGTTAGACATCTACACTCTAGTTATTTTTACTTTGGAAAAACTTGGAAGTAGAAATTTATATTATTTGAAATTCGTTATTGTGTTGTTAATGGATGTTCAATCGTCAGGAGATTCGTCAGCATGCGACTAGACGTTAAATAAATAGACCTAATAAAGTTATCGGTTAAGTACCAACAAGATATAAAGAATCAAATTATACAGATATCATGTTGTTGAATAAAGTCATTATAACGTACACCGGCAGCCACCACTCCTGGCCCATGCATTCTCTTGTCCCGCAAGCTCCATCTTTATTTAACAGCCAGTGCACTGTTTATTTATATTTTCTTTAAAAAACAAATAATCATAAGTAATTTTTCATCGTGCGTTATATCCCTTAATTGTGTTAGTTCAAACACACTTGACTGTAAATGATTAACAAATTGACAAATTTAATTGATATAGAGGCCAAACAATCCTCTAACCCTTTTAAATATGTTAAAAATAAAAGAAATGTATTACGTTGAATGGTTAATACAAATTTCCCAAATCTTAAAAATCTAAACACTAAGAGCATATACATCAGAAGATCAAAGAGAAGTTCACACGGATTCCGAAAAAAAAAATAATAAAATAATGTAATTTTGGTGAACCTCATCACGCATGTTCTCTGTGATGATCCGGTGTTATCACTGTTTTGTGGGCTTCATGCCATGTGGCGGCCCACGATTGGTTTCTTTATTTTTTATTTTTTAAATAAAAGAAAAAAAATTAAAAAAAAAACACTATGAACTCTCCTCCTCGGAGTCATTAATGCATATGCTCTAAAAGGATGTATTCAATTGAAAGTTTTAGGTGATTTGTTTTAAAATGACAAATCTACTGTTATTCAAACATAAATTTTAAAAACTCATTTAAAAAGTATTCTGAAATCCATTAACATTGAAAATATTTTAAGTTGTGAAATTTTAAAAATTTCAAATGATTTTACAGTGTTTAAATAAAATTTCTTAGTTAAAAAATTAAAATTCAAATCTCATGATTTTAGCTGATATTCTAGAGTGGTTTAACAAAAATCACTTAAATCTGTGCAATTAATTAAAATCATCTAAAACCTCATCAAAAATCAAATCATCTCAAATTTTGGATTTGTCTACATCCCCCTAAAAGTGGTTGTGTAATAGCCTAAAACTTCTTTGGTTATTTTTCTTTTTTGGATTAAAACTTTGGTAAAATATTAAATATCAATTTATCAAAAAAAAAAAAAGACTTTGCTTATGTAAAGTATACTGATGCGTCTTAGATTTGAATCAGGGTGGTAATAATACCACGCTTCCAATAATTGAAAAAGTTGTATCGAAATCAATGACCATTTGTTACACAACAGTATATATGACTATAGATAGATTAAACAACAGTTACAAGATTACAAAGATAACATGTTTTGGTGTATTCTAAAGTTCATCATGTTGTGAAGCGATGTCATCTGCAAATACCAGAATGAATTTTGGTTTGGTCAGTGATTCTAAATAAAACTGAATCAAAGAACAAGGAAGACTCAAGAAAACCTGAAACTACATCCTTGAAGAAAAACTTGATCTCTCTCTCAGCTGATGATCTTGAATCAGAGCCGTGCACACAGTTTCTTTGCGAGTCCTTACCACAAAATGCTCTGATGCTGCAACAACAAGACAAGAGTTTATAGTACAACCTAATGAGTCATAACAAGTCAAAAGAATCATCTTAAACTAAGACAACTTACGATTATACCCAACTTAGCCTCACATTATGTTTTCAGATTCTATAATGAACAAACTCGCAAAAGCATCGAGAAAGAAGTGTTTGAGAGCAAACCGAAACCTGTGAGGATGAGAAATCTTAGCCTTTTGCGCATCAGTTGGCCCGATCAAACCACGCCAATCAGTAACAGCGTCTCTCTTCTCCAACACCATCACCAACACCGGACCACTTATTACATAAACTTCACACACATTAGCAAAAGCAAACAAAGTTAACAAGCACTTAGTGTTAGCACCAAAACATGCTCACCTAGTCATGTAAGAAACAAGATCAGGAAAAAAGCTCCTTAACGAGTGCTCTTCGTAAAACTCAGAAGCTGTCTCCTTATCCAGCTGAGTAAGCCTCTCCTTAACGATACTAAAACCAGCTTCAACAATGATCCTTTTGATCTCCTCAGCATAGTTACCAGAGACTCCATCTGGCTTTATCATACCCAATGTCCTCTCTTTACCTAAACACCTAACAAAACTTTAGCTCATCAAATCTTATAACATCAGAAAGTTCAAAACAAGTAAACAAAACCCTAATTTTGGAAAAATCTAACAGCTACAAAATTTATCTCGGCGGGAAACACGAATTGAGATTTAGACCGAAAGGGTTTTCAATTGGATCAAAACCCAATTCGAAGATCCGTTCCAATTGAGTTACGACTGTTCATACGAAGAGGGCAATTTGCTGATAAAGTTTCTAGCTTTACTCGCTTACCTAACAGACGGCGACAAGGAGAGAGAGACGAGAAGGAGGAGGAGCACTAGTTGACCTGAGAAGCCTGACATCAACTTGATCGGAGAAGAAATACAGCGCGGTGGTAACGTCGAGTTTTCTCCTCCGGCCGGAAAACTTTACTCAAATCACGATTAAGTCTTCCACAGTCAACCCGTTACTCAATTTGGGCCGATTAGTATATATTAAAAAGGCCCATCAATATATCTCTTTGAATAACAAGACTAGTAACCATGCATTTATAACGGGCCGATTAGTATATTTAAAATAAAGCCCATCAATATGTATCTCTTTGTCAAGGCTAGGTTTCATGCATTTTATTATTTGCATGTTTTCAAAAAAAATATTAGTATGAATGACTGAATGTTGAAATTTATTTCCTTCTCTAAATCTTACGTTGTTAGTGAAATTCATTACAAAATAATAGAGGAAGCCTAAAATTACAAAGCATCACTATACAATGGGTCTGAACATATATCAATAAAATATTGGGTTCAACCTTCAATTTTTGTTTTACAAAATATAAACATATATGTTTAAATTATTTTTAAAAAATTTATAATTCTTACTAAATTTCTAGCTGATCATGGTTATAAGTAGAACAAGATTGTATTTTTTCGAGAAGAAGAGCTTGCACTTGTTGTTGAGAATGAAAGATGTAGATATCTCATCATTGATCGACTTCAGAGCGGAGAGGGTGAAGATCCGACGACTGTGTTCTATTAAAAAGGAGTAATTAAATAGCAACTTGAAAGAGGAGTCACCAAAACCCTTAGATAAAGAGAAGAACCCAAGCAACCTAGTGGAGTTACCATCAAAAGGTTGAGAGAAACCAAACTCGGCTAGATTTTAGCTCAAAGTGGTTAAGTTGAAATGTAAAAAATAACTAATATGAAAAAGTTAAAAAAAAAACACTTGGACGGTGGAAGGCAATTCACACGACTGTTAGATTGGATGCATTCATGGGCCGAAATTCACATAGACGTCCTATTCGTGAAGCATTCGAATTCAAAAGATCCACCAAAATTTCACAATTTAGATTTTTCAAAAATAAACCAATAGAATGATATTGACATGTAACTATAATGTACTTGTTATTTCTGTCTGACAAAAACATCTCTTAATCGAATTCTTATTTCTGTCTGACACCAGAATCACAGATTTGTTAGTTGGACGGTGCAAATACGTAATACCAATAAATATCAGATTTTCTTGTATTACCACCATATCATATATTTTTTAGTTAACGGTAAAAAAGCACGGTGTTAGAATGCAGAGCTTATCAGTAATTATTATGGGTTTTTACTATAGCTTGAACACATTTATATGTATTATACAGATACAGATGTACTATATCTAAGTTTTTAACTAGAAATTTGGACAAAAGTAATTGATTTTTTTGACATTTACACCCAAAAAAAAGTAATTGATTTTGAATATTATTTAACTTGTTCCCCTACCTTATTGACAGTAACGTTGAAGTTTTGACATGTTCATATAATCATATTTTTCTATATAAACTTTTGGTAAATTCGTTTTAAAACAACCAGAAAATGTCAGATTTAAATCAGTCTGATCTCTTGGACATCCAAAATATTGAGCATTTTGCATTTTAAAGTGTATCGACAAGACAGCTAAAATCATTTAAAACTTATATGATTATAATCTTCAACTCATAATGAATCTTGTAGTTATACTAATTTTTTTTGGTTAAAAAAAATACTGAGCGGTAACTTAGGTAGCTAATTGTTTTCCGTTTGTATCTACATTTACTAGTTTGTAAAGATCTTTTTTATTTAAGCGGTATAATCTTGTTGGACGGTGCAAGCTTTAAAGAAGGTTGCTGATAATCCGTCAAAAACTGCGTTATTAACTTTTCTGCCCATCAAAATAGACCTGAAATTAGATACGTTTTTTAATCGTTCCCATTATGAATGTTTCATTCCGTTTCTCATAATTAACGTCTACCTTTTTGTATTTCAAAAGGTAAGTAGGGTTAACATTTTAATAATATGGTAACACTCCTTATTGGAAATCGCCACAACGAAAATGTTATCTTAAAGGAATTAGGGCTACAGTTATAAAAACGACAGCTAAACTTATATGTTGAGAAACTGCAAGTGACACAATAAAGATCAAATCTAAGTTTTTCTATAATTTAAGAGCAAAATGTTTTTATATCTTATTATATATAAACTTAAAGCATACAAATAAGTTCAAATGCTTATGTAAGTCTACGTGAAAACAAGTGTTTACTTTAATAAACGTTGTTTCAGTCCCTTGTTTTCACGTAGACTAGTGTTTGTTTCCATAGTGTTTTAAATAAATTGACAACACATGAGGGTGAGGTACTATTACGTCAAAAAATTAGATTTATATGGGTATGACACAAATGATTATCGGATATATGCATGCAGCATGCTCCACGTTGTGTACGTACCTCCACGTTGAAAGTTAGACCAGCTCAATAATGTCAAAACGAGTCTAACGAAATCAAACCCTCTTTAGTACTAGTTAATTACACATTTTAAAATTGTGTTGAATATCTATTTGACTTTGTTTATTTTGCTCAGTTTAATTTCTTTGACGAATATAGTGAGTTTGACATGTTGTTGGTTAATCTGAAACGAATTAAATTACAAAAAATGATGACGTGTTCTAGACAATCAAACAAAATACTTAAAAGATAGAAAAAATGTTTGCAAAGTTCGAACCAGTGCATAATTCGCATACACACGCATTAATAATTTATTTTAAATATATAAACACGTATACATAATCAAAATATACATGGGAATTGTATTAGACAACTCTTATAAAATTATTCTATATTTGTTGTGTCCATGAGACTTTTTTCACCCAATGCGATATAAAACAAGAGTTGTGGACTGAACTAAAAGAAAAATATCTCGTTATATATGCAATTTTTATGGTTTACAGATATAGTGTTTTGGGATCTAAAGATCGATCTCAAACTACTGAAATCCTTTATAAAACGAAAATTGTGGTTAACAAACAAGCTCTTATTATTTATAAAGAAGCTTTCTCAACGATTAAACTAAGTGTGGAGAATGGGAAAATTCTATTTATTCTGGTGTCAAAACTGGTTTCTTTTGATGATTTTCTTGTCCTCCAGTACTCACTCCACCCTAGAAATCCATAAATGCTCGGCGTTAAGAACACTATCTAAGCTGAGCTGTACAATCTTTAAATAGCAAAACAGCTCTGAAAAACGACCTTTCTTGTCGTAAAAAAACGACTTTTCTTAAAACCGATGAGTTCAGTTGGTTCATACATCATTGTTGAATGGGAAACCAAATAAAAATGGTTTCATACTTAGACGTAATATTTAATTCATAATTATCAAGTTTTTTTTTCTTTTTGATAAATCTTATCGATGATCTGGCCAGTTTCGATTTTGTTTCTAATCCAGCTAAACTAAATTGTATTTGCTGTTACGTAATAGTTTTAACCTAAAGAAAATTAATCAACATCACACTGAATCACTCTACTAGTGTGCTAGACGTGGAAGTTTGCATCAATATATCAAATTCAAAATTTTGATATTAGAAAGAGATTAAATCAAATTGTTATGTGTTAATTCGAAATGCGGATAACTCTATGTTTTTTTTGAACTGGTAGACGTTAATTAGGAGAAACAGAGTGCAACATTCATAATGGGAACGATTAAAAAACGTATCTAATTTCAGGTCTATTTTAAGCGGATAACTCTATGTTAATTCCATCTTACGGTTTAAGTCTCTTCCATTTAAAAATTTTAAAACGATTTTTGTTCAGTCTATTTATTTATTGTTTAAAAGATCTTGTGCTAATTAATTTATGTGACTGAAGTTTTTAGGTTTGAATAAGAACATGGTTTCTCTGAATCAAAATTGTAATCGAGATCCGTATGATTCATGTTTTATATTATTAGAATAATTTAAATTTAAAATTTATGTGTTTAGTTATAATCCGGCGATGTTTACTACTCTCTCCGTTTCAGTTTAATTGTCATTCTATGCTTTTGTACACAGATTAAGAAAACAGTTAATTTTACATATTTTCAAAATAAAAACACAATTACCTATACACCTAACCACTTTTCAACCAATGAAAAAATAGAATGACATTTAAAATCAATAAATTTTGCATTGAAATTATAAAACGACACTTATTCTGAAACGAAATTTTTACTCTAGAATGACATATAATTTGAAATGGAGGGAATATCCAATTAGTTAAAATTTAGAATGTTCAAATTTTTTTGGCAGTAATAAAAGAAACGACTTGGTTGCTAAATCCTATAATTTAATAAAAGTTCATTTTGATCATATAGTACTTCTTTTATGCATCAAGTACATTTATGTCCCATTTATTTCTTGATAATTTTTTTCTTTCAGTATAATTTTGTGTGTGAAAAACTATTAAAAACTGTCAGACCCATTTTTGTTTAATTCTTTCTCGAAACTATTACCAACCGATCTTCAAAGGTCATTTCTCGAATTATTTATTTACTTCTCCTGGCTTATGTTACTTTATAGTAATAATATAAACATTTTCCAGTTGACAAAATATAACATTTTTCAATATAAAAGGTCATCGCTATTGGAATATAAGGGTAAAATCGTCATTTACGTATTCTAACTGGAGCTTCTCCTTCGCTTCCTTGCCTCCTCCTAACTACGCGTCGCGTCATACTCGGAACGCAGTTTGACTCAATTTACTTGCACGTTTTTTTGTTTATTATTAGTAAACATAGCCAACTATGTTCATAATACAAGTGACAGAACTTAATAAAAAGATGGATAAAAAGTAATAATTTTTTTCGTGATAAATTAATTAACGGTATGATTAAATGATTCATTTTTGAGATTAAAAGACCAGAGTTCAAATCCTACTATTTGAGATTTAAATACCAGAGTCCAATCGTGGTCAGCTATTGTATATTTTTTAAACAGTACACATAGTCAATTGTAGCTCTATATTTTAGTATGTGTTTTCATGTAGTGATCTTCCAACTATATAAACAAATCATATTAACAATGACAAACAACGGAACTACACATTTACGTGATTATTATTTTCCACATAAAAGTGTTCTCACATGTATATCGGATAATACAAAATAACTAATTAGTAAAATAACAATAT